TGGCTCTACAAGTTGAAATTCAATGGATTAACTACCTCATTTGCCTCTAGGGAGAATTCTGCACAACAGGACTTACTAGATGGTATGAATCACCACATCCATATCTCTGCCACAGCACCCGCATGGGATTTCAAAACATGTTTCCTTCTCAGTAAGATCAGAATGTGACACATGCCAGTATCACTCTGCTTTCCTTCTTTCCTAATTCTTTTGCTTCAAGGCATCTGTTCTCCAATGTGACCCGCGAAGACGACGATAAACAAAGTGTCATGTAAGAAAAACTATACCAACAACTAAAGGCAACAGATAAAGCATTTCAATAGTATGGTTCGTACCCTAAGCAATGATCTTCCTGAGGGAGCTCCGAAGCTCAGCTGGTCCCATTAATCTCTGAGGACTGATCATTAGAAGAGGTCTTCTGCTGTGATAAAAGCAAAGCTGGGTCCTGACCTCAGACAGAAAGTGGCAATGGCATAGCAACCGCTCATCAGTCATCTAATCCTGCTCCCTCTCAATGAAATTATCATAATTCAGTATACGGTTCTATAGGGACAGTCAGGATGGCTTGTCCCCTTTTTACCACACAAAGTGATTTGCCAAGAGAACTCATGTTTATTCCTTAATAACAATATTTACTAGGTCAGATTCCTTGGTTTGCTTCTAAATTGTTTTCTTAAGTATTCAAGACAGACTGGCTTGAAACCTGTCAAATTGTTCCCCAACCTCCTACGCTTGACAATCCCACCTTCACTCCCTGTTCTGTATCCGAACCGATGACTGTTACCTCGGTGTTGTGTTTTAATGCACACTATCAAAGCTGAAGCAATTTTACTGCGTAGTGTAGGTATCATCCAATCTCTTTGAACTATAAATTGATTTGAGCCAGTTCTCTGAATCTAAAGGTCACAAAAATAAACCTGACATTGTTCTTTCTGCAGCAATGAGCATGTACAATGTATTACTTAGTTTGTCAGAGTCACGAAGGCAGCTATTTCCTATAACTTGGTGAAGCTGTAAAAGCAGTTGAGCAAAAAGAAAAAAAAATCATTGTGCATATAAATAAACTAACATTTCTGTTATTGCCCAAAGCTGCACCTTGTCGTTAATGGGATAATGGGGTCTACATTGTACACCCCAAAGGTTGTTTAAATGCTGTTGAGTAGAACAGATAGTTTACAGCTGTCGATACTGGTACAGTAAATCAGACACACTTACCTTGTGCTTATATAAACATTAACCAATAAATTCGTGTATGTTCTAAAAAGGGAAGTGTAGACAGTAGTTGCCATTTACTGTGATTCATACCTGTCTTACAGAGCTGCAGGCAAGATTTAAGAAATATCCCACGTATCGGGATTTCAAACTAGTACCTGGTTCTTTCAAAAGCAAGGGGTACATCAGCGGCTGGGGGGTTGCTTTTCCTCTCAAATACATAAAATGAGTCTGGGACTTCATGCTGCAGATGTGGCCATGCAGCCAGCCTGAGCACTTTGGGGAGGGAATGAAGAGGAGTTATTCTTTGTCCCATCAGAACCTCCTGTTCACTCATGTGAATTATATCACAATATAAACAATGAGAATCTTGCATCTCAAGGTTAAAGGAGAGTAGTCATTTGTGTTCATATTTAGAAATGAAAGCAACCGCTGCAGCTGTACTAGTGTCCTAATTTATGACCGCAAGGATTGGTTTAACTTTCTTTCCCATGTCCTTTGCTAGTTCAAGCAGAAGTATTGTACAGCACTGATGATTAAAAGATGTCAGACAAAAAAAGAATGAATTTTCAATTAAATTTATGTACGTTTATGGATTATGATTATTGTGAAATCCTCCCTCTTAGAATAATTGCTTCTCTCTCTTGTAACTTATGGTATCCGTCTTCAAATGAAACAGAACAAATCCTCTTCAGCTTGCTACAGTGCTTGTGAAAGTACTGAGATTATGTGCCGCTTCTTTCCAACGCTAGTAATTTTAATCTAAAAATACTCTTGCTAATCCCTATTTTAGACTTTTATTGGCTGCTTTTGACATGAAGTTAAACTCAATTGTTGTGGTTTAAGGATTAAAGGATAAGTATTTTTTCATACAGAAACTGCAAAAATTACCCAACTGCCTTTGTAGACTACTGAGGAGAAAAATATGCCAGAAGAAAATTGTTTCCTAAGTCAGTGTTTGATGATCTGCACCCAAAAGTCCTTCAATTTTGATTTATAATCAACAAGGTACCATTTCTTCAGCATTGATATGTGATAGGGATTAATCTTTTGATGTACCTGATTTACTGCAAGCTATGTAACTCCACAAATAAGTTCTGGAGCTATATTTACCTGCTCTGCAAACAACACAGTGGCTCATTCTATTCTCACTTACCTGTTCTACCTGGTTTATATCAGTAGTTTGTACCAGTTTAAATGAACCAGACTTGGTCGTAATTGGTTTTTATGTCAGATTAGTCTTAAGGAAAAACATCACTGGTATCAAAGCCTGTATGGAGTTTCTTATATAAAGGGAAATTATTATTTTTAAAAGTACATTCTCATATCAGAAACAAAAAACTACTTCTCTGCCTTCAAAATCCATAAAGCTGGTATCCTACTTTAAAAAAAAAAAAATTACTAGTAGGATCAAAAGTTACTTAATTTTGCTGGCATTGAATAAAGAGGAAAGTCTATGGAACTTAAATCTTTCCAGGCTTCACTGGGCACACTTCACATTTGTATAAAATATCTGTTGCCTTTTTGTTAGAAGAGGCAGATCTATTAAATCAAACCATGCAGTATCATTGGTCATACTCTTGGCACAAAGAAAATGAATATATCCTAATGGGGGATGGTGGTGATGTTACCTCATGTTGCAATATTAGTTCTCGGCAGACACTACTGGTATTTCTCGAGACTGGTTTCATCACTCACAGTCTCAGAGATACCCATCTGTTTGCACTTTCTTTAGCAGGTTAGAGAGGTTGGTGTCACCACAAAAGATTTATTTTTTTTCTATTAGTAAATCAGCAATTTTACTGGACAAAACAGTGCCACATCCATCACCAATAAAAAATTGTTTGTTCAGAGCCAGCTCTTACTGCCTGTCCTGGTTTAGGGAGCCGAAGATCAAGTGAGAGGATTATTCTATGATCTCTGTAATCGAGTTCTGCTTTTCCATTCTGAACACCACTGCTAGCTCTCCTGCTGTAGCAGTTAATTTGCAGTATTGTAGACATTTGGCACTTGATATACTTTTGGATGTGCCAGCTATTTGTTATGTTTATGTACTCTATATTTTGCACTATTCTAGTATCTGCACTGCGCCTCTGAATTCACTTTGATTTTACATCAGAGAGACCTCTGTGACCTTCTCACTTGCACCACTGTCAGATCAACATCAAGGTGTGGATTTAAAAGGAGAATAAATTGTTTTGGATTAAAAGAACGTGTGTGTTTAAACACAGAGTGCTTGGTCTAACACCCAAGGAATGTATTAGTCTTAAGTTCTACATTCTTAACTTTTAAATTTGAGATCACTGCTGTCATTATTAGCACTCATCATTGATCACTGTCCATGAAAAATAAATAACCCCAGTAAGAGCTACAGTCACCAACCCAAGGTTTCATCACTGGAGCTAACTGCAGGAGTAGGGACCTCTCACTGCCTGGAACCAATCAAATGATTTTGCTTCAAGAGATGACTGAAGAACATAATGGACTCCTTTCATCTCTTATCTAACTGAATTGATGAATTTGCATTAAAAAGATCAAGGCCCAGATTCCAGGCTCACTTACACCAGTGTGAATCATAAGTGATGCCATTAAATGAACAGCATTACCCTAACGGAGTGAGCCCAGCGCTGCTCCTGGAAGACACATCTTAAAACCTGTTAACGTTGGCACATCACACAGAGACCTTTTAAATATGAAATCTGTGTGTACCAGTAGGTGCAGATAAAACACACGCTCTTTTCAGCATTCAGCGGGTGCTTTGCAATGAGTAATTAACCAGTCTTGACTTGGTTTGTGCAATGAGTTAGAAGGCTCACTTGAAGGCAGAAATATTTTGATGCTGCAGTCCTAAGCTGTGAAGTTATATGAGATCTGTGCAAAGACATAAGAGAAATGCAAAATAAATAGTTAATAATACTCTGATTTGCCTATGTGTGGTAATAGCTCTCAGCTATTTTAAGGGGCTCCAAAACTGGGAAGCATTGCACCTCAACACCATGGCTCCCAGCTCCGAGCTCTGACTCAGGCCATTGAAATTCTGTCCACAATTCGGAATTTATGGTGGAAGTTGTTGATCTCTTCCATAAACTATGTTTCAGTGTTTATGGTTTATGTATTTCAGGACAAAATGAACATTTTTTCAGACTGACCAGTTATGATGTCTCCTTCAAGGGGTACATGATGAAACAGCAACTGAAGTGGGATTAGAAATGTCACATAAAGATATTCCATATAAATTTGGACTCACGGAAGACTCAGTTTTGCAAATGGTATGCCAGCAATCTTCACACGAGGCCAGGATCAGCCTGGCATTTTGGACATAAACTGTGACCCTTTCCTGCCCTCTCAGTATGTAATTGCCACTGAAAATTCACTCCCCTACTTGTCAAGGCAGAAAGGGAATCTGAGAGTCTTTCTGATGGCTTCCTCCTCCTTAGGGATACCTAACGAAATATTAAGTATTTTCAGAAAAATATCAAGAGAGGCCTGTATGGTATACGCTATGACCCAGACATAACAACTGAAGTAGGCACAGTGGGAAGCATATGTTTAGATAATTTACAAGATAAACAGTTTCCAGCTTCACTGATCCATACACTCTGTCAATCCAGAAAAGTGCTTCCA